ATGTCCTCGGTATTTACAGATCCTTCTTTCAATTCCCCAAAACATTCCTATTGCTCTGATTGGACAGCTTCTCACCCTGGTTTTGAAGGAGGCGGGATTCCAGGTTTGTAGATGAAGTTTAACCCATTTACATTCTTGCGTGAGCCCAGGTGTTGACTTGCTAAAGGTTTAGGGAGCTGCTGTCACGCGCCAACCGTCCTTAATTCTTTACGCATATGATGTGACTACTGGAGTAGTTGTAGATATCGGAGACCGCCTTAATATTGTTCCTGTCATCGACGGTTCGCTCTAAAGTACTTCTTATTCCACTATACCTCACATTGTTCTGATCTATCAGGTTATGTGGTTGAGTCAGCTATATGTTCCATTCCTTATGGAGCCACACAGGTGCGAGAGGCGTTAAGGACTAACTTATGTTCCAATAACAAAGGGCTCTACTCTTTCCAAAGTCCCATTGAGAAGCTGATCCTGCGTTATGTTCTGGAGCAGGTAAATTTGAGATCCAGTGAAACAACGATTTTTCTTCAAGACAATTCGATGAAACAGATAATTCCGTATGGCCTAACCATTAGACGAGATTATCTAACCCTTAGAGCGTGTGCTTGCGTAACCATACACTTGCATACATCAAAAAGCTGCTGGCGAAATTACGTTTGTTATTACAGGCCTCCCTTCATGGTCGCAGAGTAAGTATGTATCATATAATGTTCGTACTCATAGTGTATGCATAACGGAGACTAGACAACATTAGTTCGGTGTGATCAATCGCATGAGATAATTCTCCCATTTTGAATTTTACCACTTTCAGACTAGCTATGTTCCGGAAGATTACGCGCAAGAAGAGAAAACGACCAAAGAAGTAAATGTCTCATTGGATAAGTTCGACCCCATTCCAGGAATGCCAACTAAATTCAACGTATGTTTTAATAGTATTGTATTTGAAGTCAGTTTATTAGATTCGAAAACAGAAAAATATATCAAGCTTTGTAATCAAGAATAAAATGTCATTGATGCTTCCAGTCGATTTTTTTTGTACTAGTTCAATTTTCTTCGCCCGTGCTTGTACTTGTTCTGAATATTTATTGAAAATCCCTTTTCCAGATTGACAACTCTCGCTTCTTGTGTACTGAGGGTTTATTCCGACCGAAGAAGTGGGGTCTCGATACTAAAGGTTTGCACCAGCTGGTGCATGAGGCTGTTCAGATGAGTCCTATCGACAGCAGAAGAACGCTATACAGGTTGGCTGCAATGCTGTAGATTCTGCTCTTTTCGTTTCCTCAACTTTTTTCTAGGAACATTTATCTTGCTGGAGGTGCATCCCTAATGCCAGGGTTAGCAGAAAAGTTAGAACAGGAACTCGCAGCTATTGTTCCCAACAGCATCCATACCCAGGTACAAAAATATAGTATTTGGAATGAATTGAATATATTTTCCATGTTGTCTGTACTGAAGTCTTTCATCTCAGGTGCATATCTCACCATGGAGGTACAATGCCGCGTATTTGGGAGCCCAAATAGTCGCCTCTGCCTCGACTTTTAGTGATAGCTGTGTATCCCTCGAAAACCTGCCCACTTTCATAACACATCTGCAATCTTCGTGTTTTTAATTTCAGATAAGCTTTGACACATACGGAGTTTGACCTGCTCGTTTTTTACCTTTTTGAACACAGCCACACACATACACATCTTACGGACAAATCTTATGTGGTATTTAGTAGGCTTAAGCTGCCCAATTTAGTCTAGTTTGTTAGCATTTTTTCAAACTTTGCTCTACTTACTCAGTTGTGGTGAAGATATTCATGAATGATGTGATATCTAATCGATGCTTAGCCGAGTTGAATATTGAATACTACATATATTTTTATCAGATATAATGAATCGTTCATTGCTTAATTTTCTTGGAATTCACACCTGATAAGTGTTTTTGCGAATGCCAGCTGGGCAATCTTTCTTCAAAGGCAGACATATCTTCTCAACTGATATCTTGCTTCGATTATGTTTTTGTAGATTTGTAATAGAAATTTTGAGATCTATGCATGTGCTTTTGATGTTGAATTCTTTTCCGACAGACTTTCAATTTTTGTTGAACTTCCGCGGAGCAATGTTAAGTCGTTGGAGATTTTCATGTGAGAGAAGTTTGCTTAGTTGGAACGAATTTCCCTTTATACTGATCTGCCTTATAATCCTCACGCTACCGTTGTGACAGTCAATTAATACCTTGGCTTTTGCCTTCTTTCTTTTATCATATCACAATAACGAGTAATTATCAGAAAATCAGAGAGGATAATTTTTTGGAAGTAAATTCAATATTAGATGGGATTTATATATTCTGGCCCAATAGGATAGTATAGTGCCTATCACTTTGAAGAGAGAATTTGAAAATTATCTTTATATATAAACATCCGCTTTATCATTGTCATGCCACAGTCTTCTGCTTGTTATTTTTTACCGTAACCTCCTCCTCCCGGAGTTCGTATCTCGAGGATATCCTGAACAGTAGATATTTGTTATCAAAGCTGTATGTATAGCTGGGAACTTACGCCAGGCTCTATGTCGAGCGTGATTTTTCCTCCAAGATTCACTGTTCGCGACTTCCTCTTCAGCAAGTTCATACCACGAGCTCCGTCTTCACCGCCATGAAGTCCGTAAGGAGCAAACACTCTGTAACTATTGCTATATCATTGCACCGTGATTACCAAATTTGTTTACCTTCGTTCTGTAAGAAGTGAGAGTGAAAGAGGTCGACGGAATTGTAGAGACCGTACCACACCGTCTCCTCCAGGCCACTTGCCGGTTCCTCCGGAGTTCTCTCGAAGTCTGAACTCACGCAGTACAACAGGGTATCTGAAACGCAAAAACTTGTTAATCTCTTATTCCTGCTTTATCGAATCTGAATGATTGTTTTCATAAAATTGTGTCGAGGCGTTTTTAGAGCTTTCCTTATTGGCTGGCCCAACACTAGGATTATGATATGCCTGCATTACGCTTTAGTCGATTCTCTTTCTCAGAATGAGGTCTTGCAGTCTCCTTGCTTTTCGAAATTAAAAAGCTGCATATGACCAAGTTGAATATCTTCAGATCACATATCTTCAACGTGAAAAATCTCAAAAGGGTATCTTGTCGTATTTGGAGTTCGAAAAACTCTTTATTTTCAATTCTGTGCCCATTCCAATGTTGTTTAGTTCTACCTGCTTTCAAGAATTTCCGGATCAGTGATCCTCGTGTTTGTCATATGAGTGTGAACACCGCTGCGTCCGGCGAAACCCTCACCGGCACCCGCTCCTCCAGCGATGGTTTCGTAATATCCCATAGACTCATCACCAAATGTGACGTTGTTCATGCATCCTGAAGAAAGAACACTCTCTTCCGGGTTAAATAGCAACGAGTTCTTCCTCAGATCCGGCATATAAGTGGAAAACGGCATTCCCACCTTGACTGGCAGCCACTGCTTCGAAAGCTCTTAGAATTACATCGCAGAGTCTTTGACTGGTCAGTACGTTTCCTCCCACTACAGCTGCAGTCTCAGAAGGTGACAAAAGTGTGCCATCAGGTATCGATATCTGAAGTAGCAAAAGGTATGACTCAGATACGGGGAAGGAAAAGGACTAAGGCAGAATAACGAGCAGTAATTGGGTTGAGACATCCGCTGTTTAAAGGAATATCCTTGGC